GCCTAAGTTAATTGTATCCAGTTTGCAAATTAATTCCAATGCAGCAGTCTCTCGTTGGAGTCTGTTTTTGAAGTTTTTTTGTTGAAGAATTGCAACTTTTAGGTCTCTAATCGAGTGACCAAAGAGACTGAAGTGTTCTCCGACTGGTTTTTGAATGTTATAACTTCCGAAGCCATCCAAACTGTAATCAGCTTCCCCACTATCTCTCATGACTGGAGCTGCTTATTATCAAACAAAGGGAGTTTTCCAGTCCTCATTAAGATAATAGGTGTTTTGCTTTAAGCAGGGAAGTGTTATGGATGACACGGTAATGTCATTTTCCTGTTGGAACAGGAAGTGCATAAAATTCACACCAAGGAAGGTAAAAACTAACACGCAAGTGTTACAGCTGCGTGCAAAAAAGGATGATAGTTTCTGCTGTACCAGGGTTTTCCCGGTAACCAGCCTAGTCCTCCATGGTGCTGATCCTCAGTCAATGAGGCATGAGGATGCTCAGCATGGGCCTGATCCAAGGATCCTGGAAGTCAGTGGTAAGAGTCCTCCTGACTCCCATGGGGCTTGACTCAAATCCTGTAACAGACTCGCTGGGTCAGGCCTACAATTTGCAGAGGTGCACAAAATATTTGCAAGAAAACTGGTTGTGTTTTTTGTGCAACGTTTGCACTGGAACAGGCCCACTTTCAAGAGTAAGTTGCTGTCATGGCACAAACTGTGGACGGTGGTAATGGTGCCTGTTTTTGCATCCATTTTACCCTTTGCCTTATATCCTGGGGAAAGCTGCAGAATTTCTGGGATGTACAAACCATGCCAGGGGGGAGGGAAGGGGGAAATGGAGGGGGAGAATCACAGGGTATTTCTGAAAGAAAATAGCCTGAAATGTTTCTGTGAAGAATGTGCATCAGATGGCATCGGCTTTGGTGGTGCACAGCCCGGTGCTGAATGGTGGAGTAGTATTAATGGCGGGTTTATAATGACTCGCTACTTAGCATGACTTTGCCTTGTGCATTGCAGCTGATGCCTGGCTGGAGCTGACACCTTCTCTCGCTGCTCCTCCCGAAGGCAACCTTGGAAAAGGGTGGCCTCTGAAAGCATCCCAAGGGCAGCAGTAGCAGTGAGGAGAGCTGGATTGACTTTCAATGTCAGCTGACTACTGCATGATCCTACACTGCAGTCCACCCTGGGGCAGAGGGCCACCTTCATTGGTACTGATCAGCTGATCGCCTGGACCCCCCCTCCGCTTCTGTCCCTGGCTGGTTTATCATCTGGTTCCCAGGCCCAGCAACTCCACATCCTGTTTGCTTTTTTACCTGCAGCTCTTAGCTGAGCCCAGGGGCCGCAGGCAGTTTGTTTGCTTGACAGCACCTGTCCCCATTGCCTTCCCTGGCTGGCCTGTGCTTACGTCTCTCCATTCAGCGTATGCAGAGAAGCAAACGTGCCCTTCCTAGGGAAATTCACCATGGGCCCGAGCCTGAAGTCACCACTCGATTTCCCTGGGGCTGGGTAGGGTTACCTGGACACAACTCCCAATGACTTCAGGATTTGAGGTCAAGGGGTGTTACTCCGATCCTGTGGAAAGCAGGGAGGGAAGGGCCCCGGGGTTCTTAAGGATCCATTTATTTTATCATGCAGCAGGAAAGAGCAAACCTGGGGGCGGGGGTGAGAAAGAGAGAGACAGGAGGCCCCAATATGGAAGTGCTGCATAAGATGGTCTACGTGCCATTACCTTAGACACCAACACCTATGCTCAGCTAACGAAGGTGGGGCTGCTTTAACCTCGAACTCAGACTCCCTTGCACGACAGGTGACTGAGTGCGGCAGGATCTCCCAGAGCACCGTGGAGCCAGACGTACACCCCTCATCTCTGCGTTCGGCCCAGAGCCAGAGGTTTTCCTCAGTGGTGACGTAGAAATACCCTGGGAACTCTTTTCTGCTGCTCTTCGTACTTTTCCTGTGCTGAGCTGTGGTTGGGGACAGCAATCCACTTATAATAATCCTGCTGTGTCCTTCCTGAGCACCTTCCCCACGAGGATCTCAATGTGCTTTACAAGCCATATTGAAACCGCCCAGTGGGCCAGTCTCAGTACATTGTACTGAGCCCAGAAGTGCCAAGTCACCAGATGAAATGCTGCCCAGGGGGCACCAATCTGGGGAGAGTCTCAGCCCCCACATATTCAGAGAGTTTGGATTGGTTTGCCAATGGACAGAGGCTTATCCGGGACAAACTTAGACCCCAACATTTCTGAGGTCACCCTGCCTGTAACACAGAAACACATGCACTTTATCCACATGCTCCCCCAGACATGCAAACACAGACCCACATGCCTCTGTACAAACACACGTGGGGGGGGTTCATTAGTATTGAACATTCACAGGAATAATGGGAACAATATGACTCTGAATGAAAATAAACAGCGAGGGTTCTCCTTCTCTCACCCCACTCCCCTGGCCCGGCAGCTGTTTCCACCACATGAAGGCCGAGGGCAGAGCTGGGTCAGGTCTGCAGTTGTGTTTGAGGAATGTCTGGGAAGAAAGTGATAGTGGCCTCAGCTGTAGCTTTAATGCAGTGTCAAGGACACACATACACACAAACCTCACCCATAATGCAGCTGAGAAAGGAGACTTGGAAAGGATCAAAGGCCTAGATTCTCTTCCCATCTCTCCTTTGCTTCTTATTGCTAATGTCATCCTTTAAGTCATTGGCAATGATATTCATCATTACTTTGTCCCTGATGTTGTTCCAAGGACAGGCTTGGCCAGTGCTGTTCTTGTTGATACTGGGAATTGGAACAAACGGCTGACAGTCGAGGCACTGGCTTGTCACTGGCATGGGCCTCTCACATCTCTAGCTCTTTACTTTCTCAGTGAGGAGCCTGTGAGTCTGAAAGGAGCAATTGGAGCTGAGTTGGTGGGTGGCATCTTGTGTGCCCTGCGCAGGGTGGTTAGAGATGGGGATGGGTCATTAGGATGCCTGAGTTCTGTTCCCATCAATGTGTGACTTTTGGAAGCCAGTTTAATCTCCCTGTGCCTCAGTCTCCGCAGCTGTAAAATAGGGACAATAATTCTGTAACTATCCTCCTGTGACAAGGTGCTGGGCAAAGGGTTGCTGATTCAGCCCTCTGTCATGCCAGCTCCTATTTAGGGGAATAAATTAGAGCTGGCTAGAGATAACCTGGCCCTAATTGGGGAAGCAGAGACAGCTGCCGCCTCATTAACCTGGGGCTGTATAAAAGCCTCAGAGGAAGGAAGCTGGGGGTGGGTGGGGAGAGACAAAAAGAAAGGGAAAAGTAGAAGCAGGGAAGTAGCTCTCCCCTCCCTCCTGCCTGCAGATGGTGAAGGGTCAACTGTACATGGCGAAACAGTGGTGGGAACAAGCCTGTGAATAAACTGCACCACTGGGTACTAGCCTGAGTGTCTCAGAGTGACTTTGTGGACCTAGAAGATGCAGGAGCAAGGGGTCCCTGCCATGCCCTGCTACGCTTCCTTAGAGAGCTGTAGTGAGGCACCACTCAAAGGCATTGAAATCCCAATTTAAAGGTGCTAAAAATTAGCATTTCTCCCCTGTTCCCACACAGTAGCATCTACAACATAATAGTGACTTCCTATTTTAAGGACCGGGTGGAGGATATGGCAGTATCTCAGCTGCTGCTATGTGGCAACTTGGTAAACGTTGACTTTTTAATGGCAACCACTGTGGTTTCACATTCCCTTTAGATTAGAAGCAGAATGGGTTTGTAAATCTTATCCTAGTTCCTTGCATAGAGCTGGTCAAAACACGTGAAAGATGCATCCTGAAAATGTTCTCCAAATTTCCCCCCTTTTTTTCTCCTTTTCCCCTGTCAAAATTAAAAAAAAAAAAAATGCAACCAGCTTTTCAGATGGGTTGTTGTCCACAACCACTGCACAGACTGGCAGGATACTCAGCCTCTGTTCAAGAGAAACCTAGGACCAGGCAACAAGGAGCAGGTCCAATAGATATGCAGTCGGGAAAATGGCACACTTGTCCATGCTACACCAGCTCTAGTGATCCCTCACTTGTACATACACTGAAATCAAGTACAAATGTTACAACTCCAGGGCCAATTTCTGAGGCTTTACCCTGTCCTTACTCCTGTGGAAGGAGTTCAGGATTTTGCTCCTTGTTGAAAGCTAACTTTTGTAATAACCTTCACAGTACTTTGCCGATCGATATTTTACTAATTGAACAAGGTACCATAAAGGCTGTGATCTATTCAGAAATGTGCTGGGTATTCAGGAAGCCCTGACCTCATAACAGCCCTTGTTTCTAATAATTGATTTGACTTGAAAGAGCGCGTTTTGGAAAAGCTCAGTGCCCACTGCTTTCAGATCAGCAAATTGATTACCTTCTCTTTAAGTCACTGAAATATACATATTCATTTTAGCCTGGTGCAGAGCATGACTTAGCATGCAGGTTTGGAAATGGGGGGAAACAAGCATCTCTTGTTCTGTCTGAACTGCTTTTTTAAAATCTGAAGGCAGATTGAAATTCAGACTGTGCCCGAGACAATACAGAGTTTCCTTAACAAGCTTCCAACTTTTAACCTTTTAAAATAGTGAGGTATTTCTAAACCTTCATTTTAAAGATGGTAACGTTTGCGAACAGCTCTCAGCAACCACAGGACAAAGTTTGACCTCTTGTGCCTGGCCTCACTGACCTGCCCAAAAGGGTTAAAAGTTCAGGTTTGATATGAAAATACTTTACCATGAATGGAAGGGTAAAACCCCAGGGATGATAAATGCTGCATTCACTCAGATGAGCTTTAAAATCAGGCTAATAAACACACGGATACAAAGACTAGCTTGGGAACTTTTCACATTGAGTTCAGCAATATTTCTTCCACTTCAGTCACAGTAGTCCTCGCTTACAGAAAAAAGGATTTGTTGGAATGCTGCAAGTGACAACTCCAGCACACACAGGCAGGACTTAACTTCTGCTTCTCCCCAGCCCTCCACCAATCACCCCCAAAAACAAGACAACTTACTATTCAGATAAAGATACAGCACCACTTATTGGCAGTGGTGTTGTCTGCACTGGTCATTGCAATATTTCCTGAAGATCTGGGCTTGGACTGCATAATTCAGATCCAGAGGTAGACGTTGAATTTCTCACCAACCTGATGGGGTGTTCAGATCCTGCTGTGGGGGAGGGGAGTTGTTTTGGCAAAGTTTACAGAAAGAAGCCAGCAGTGAAACTGGAATTCAGATTCTGGTTTGATATTTAGAACTAGGAGTTAAACTTTAACCTCCAAGCAACTTCTAAAGCATTCTGCTTGATGCAGACCTGACTCCTTCTGGTGGATTTTCAGTAGTGGGTGAACCTCAGAAAGGCTGGTTTGAAGGTTTGGTTCGGAGTAGTGTCCAACCTCTATGGATTTCAGATCAGGCTAATGATCCCATAGGAATGGAAGCAGTGGAGAGAGGACTGTTTCTTCTCAGGCTGGAACTTGCCAGAAGTCCTAGGGGGCATATCCTTAGCTGGTGTGAAGCACAATAGCAGAGGATAGATTTGAACACAGCCCCCATGTCAATGCTTCTGCTTCTGGCCAACTACCACTGGTCAAAAAGCAGGATTTATTTTTTGGGCAAATTTTACCAGAAAGGGGGCCCGTTGTTCTGTGGGTCACCCAGCTCTATGGCTGATGAGACCAGACATTAGAAGTTCTCGCTACAATTTTTATCTTAACTCCTCTATAACGAAGTGTACAGATCCTCTGCAGCTTGTAAGAGAAACCCTCTAGAACCCACTCACCTGGTCCAGGGTTACCTGTAAAAACGTTCCTGGAATAGGGAAGGTGGCTGGTCACTGAGTGGGAGGCCTCCATCTCTGTGAAGCAGTTGTGGCTTAAGGCTGCCTGAGGCTGCAGCTCCATAAGCAGGGGTTGCCTGGAACTCCCCTCAATGGTGGCGGGACCATGGTGGCTCAGGATGGCTCAAGCCATTCTCAATCTCTCTCTCCCTCTCAACCACAAAGCAAGGCAGGCTGGGAAATGTAGTCCTCCGGGCATCCATTTGTAGTATCTGGGGCAAGGCATGCTGGGAACAAGGGAAGCATATAAGCCAGTGGGTTGGAGATTATGCAGCAGGAGAAAACCCCAAATCCACAAAACCAATAGTAATGCAGCTCCTGATTTCAGTGGACATATTGCCTGAGTCAGGAGGCACCAAACCCTCCACCCTACCCCCAGAAACCTAACTGAAACAGAGTTCTGACCCCATCAAGAGCAAAGTGCCAGAGAATTGGGATGATTTAGTTGGGGTTGGTCCTGCTTTGCACAGGGGATTGGACTAGATGGCCTCCTGAGGTCTCTTCCAACCCTGATCTTCTCTGATTCTATGAACTCCACTGGGGACTTTGCTACTGCTCTTGGTTTTTCATGGAAGGCACTCAGATGCCACAGTGATGGGTGGCACACTAAGACAGAGAGAGAGAGAGAGAGAGAGGAGTGCAGATGAGAGCCCTGGTAAATTAATGTTTGCAAGGTACCTGAGGATCCCTGACGATTGGTCTCAGGCAGCGCATCATTTTTCTTCAAATAAAGGGACTCTGAAGCCCTCCTAATGGGCCAGATCATGAGCTCTTTACATGTGCTCCAGCCTCACTTGAAGTCAACAGCGCTTTGCTCAAGTGCAGAAGAGGAAAGGCTGAGGTATTGGTTCCTTAGGCGAAACTCATCCCTGTGCAGAGCTAGCCCAAGGTCCAGGTGCCAGTTACACCCTATTTTGAGTGTTGAAGTGGGACATAAATGTTCTGTAAGCCTTATGCTGGCTGTCTCCACAGATGGGGATTTCCCACTTAGTGTTCTGGTTGATTTTCCAATAAGTTGTCAGGACATTGTCAGTAAAGTCATCAGGGCAAATAAAAGTTTTGAGCACGTTCTCAGGATAAATCCCTTTGACTTCTAAGGAGTCAATATGGGGATCAATATGAAAATTGAATGGTGGATAAGGAATTGGTTAAAGGGGAGACTACAGCGGGTCACACTGAAAGGTGAACTGTCAGGCTGGAGGGAGGTTACCAGTGGAATTCCTCAGGGATCGGTTTTGGGACCAACCTTATTTAATCTTTTTATTACTGACCTTGGCACAAAAAGTGGGAGTGTGCTAATAAAGTTTGCGGATGATACAAAGCTGGGAGGTATTGCCAATTTAGAGAAGGACCGGGATATCATACAGGAGGATCTGGATGACCTTGTAAACTGGAGTAATACTAATAGGATGAAATTTAATAGTGAGAAGTGTAAGGTCATGCATTTAGGGATTAATAACAAGAATTTTAGTTAAAAGCTGGGGACGCATCAATTAGAAGTAATGGAGGTGGAGAAGGACCTTGGAGTATTGGTTGACCACAGGATGACTATGAGCCGCCAATGTGATATGGCAGTGAAAAAAGCTCCTGTTTAAGAAGGATGAATTCAAACTGGAACAGGTACAGAGAAGGGATACTAGGATGATCCGAGGAATGGAAAACCTGTCTTATGAAAGGAGACTCAAGAAGCTTGGCTTGTTTAGCCTAACCAAAAGAAGGCTGAGGGGAGATATGATTGCTCTCTATAAATATATCAGAGGGATAAATACCAGGGAGGGAGAGGAATTATTTAAGCTCAGTACCAATGTGGACACAAGAACAAATGGATATAAACTGGCTTGAAATTAGACTTGAAGGTTTCTAACCATCAGAGGAGTGAAGTTCTGGAAAAGCAGCGGGGGCAAAAGACCTATCTGGCTTCAAGATTAAACTCGATAAGTTTATGGAGGAGATGATATGATGGGATAATATGATTCTGGCAATTAATTGATCTTTAACTATTCATGGTAAATAGGCCCAATGGCCTGTGATGGGATGTTAGATGGGGTGGAATCTGAGTTACTACAGAGAATTCTTTCCTGGGTGTCTGGCTGGTGAGTCTTGCCCACATGCTCAGGGTTCAGCTGATCGCCATATTTGGGGTTGGGAAGGAATTTTCCTCCAGGGCAGATTGGAATAGGTCCTGGGGGTTTTTCGCCTTCCTCTGTAGCATGGAGCACGGGTCACTTGCTGGAGGATTCTCTGCACCTTGAAGTCTTTAAACCATGATTTGAGGACTTCAATAGCTCAGACATAGGTGAGAGGTTTATTGCAGGAGTGGGTGGGTGAGATTCTGTGGCGTGCATTGTGCAGGAGGTCAGACTAGATGATCATAATGGTCCCTTCTGGCCTTAATATCTATGAATCTATGAGTTCACATTTTTTGGCCCTTGCAGGTTTCTTAGAATTATATTTTGCAATCAGTGAAAATCTCTAGGCTTGTTCAGGATTTTTTTTCTCCTGAGACTAACACAGACTGTCCCATATTGAGAATGTAACGTCTGTTTCGATTTCTGTATAGAATAACGGGCCAGATTCTCAGCTGGTGTAAATCAGCAGAGCTCCACTGAACTCAATTTGGTTTTGAAGTTGGGTGTAAATAGTCTGCAGTTCTAAGGACTATCCCAGCAATGGAGCTAAGCTGATTTACACCAGGTGAGGACCTGCCTCAATCATTATAATACCCTTGGCAATAAGCAAAAGGCAGACTGTGTGGTCTGAAAACTCAGAAAGTCCCTCCTGCCCTTACATGACCCACGCCCACAGAATGCGTTTCCAGGCCCCTGGTGCACCAAGTGGAAAGAATGTTTTCTTCTTTGATCATGAAATTTCCAAATCCCACACTTAGGGCCTGATCCAAAGCCCTGGAGTTTAATGGGAGTCTGTCCATTGATAGCAATGGGCTTTGAATGGGGCCTTTCAGAAGAAAATAGTGCAGCAAAAGGATATACTTACTGCTCCTGCCAGCCACCAGCTCCTAGTAATTCCAGCAGCTGTTCCAACTCAGCTTCTTTCTTGCAGCACGCCCATATGGGGAGGGCGGGCAGGCGACTGACTTACAAGCAGAGGGGTTGGGCTGCTCTAGTATGAAAAGGCAGCCCAGCTTATTTAGCACTAGGGGTTTGAAATATTATTTTTCTATTAATACATCAGTAAGAAGGGCTAATGGGCTTGCCAACCCTGTTCCATTCTCAGACCCAGCTGAGCAGGGCAGAGGCGTCTTCTGGAGACGAGGTATAGGCAGTAAGGGGGCTCCTGCGGCTGGTCCTGAATAGCGGAGAAGAGATGCAAGGAGAAAATGCTTTGAGTCCCTACAGCCTGTTTGGAGTGAGTTTTATAGTTTGAATTAATAAACAGCGCCGCCCTGAGGCAGGAGCTTGAAGACTTTGAGTGGGGTATCAGTCCTTCCAGGGCTGGAGAAGCAGGCCAGCAGCCTACAACATCCATTTCTCCTCTTCCTCTCCTGGGACAGACATCAGACCTGCAGAGTGGTCACCTGAACCTCCAAATGTGCATGCACTCAGCCTCTGAGGTCCAACACATTCAGGAACATCAGACCATGCTAGCGAAAGGTCAGGGAACTTGGACTGAGGAGGGTTGCACAGCTGACCCGAGATGTGCACCTTCCTCAACTCTAGCTTCGGTATCTTCCCCTGAAGGCATCTATGGTAAGAAGGGAGGAGACCTGGGAGTTGTCAGGAAGAGAGGAAGGGCATGTGGGTAAGTATCTAACATGTGTTAGGGTCTATAAGAATACATGGGGGGCGGTGAGGAAGTGTTCCCATTGCGGGTTCAAGTTCACATTTGCCTACCTTGGGAGAAGTCCCCCAAATCCTAGAAACATAGAATTTGCCACCCTGGGTTAAACCGAGTCCTAGATTAAACCACTGAGTCCAGCATCCTGCTTCCTACAATGGTCAATATCTTATGCTTCAGAGGAAGATGAAAACAACCCATTACAGGTAGCAAATTGTGCATGGGGGTGAGTGTGGAGGAGTTCTTTCTTGGATCACCCAGCTGATCCCCTTCTGCCTGGAGCTACGAGATTTGTTTACATTGTCACCTCAGGACTAGACTCTGCCCGAGTACTCCCTAACTCCCCCACTAGTCCCACGGAAATTCATTTGACAGCAGAGTAAAGCACCATTTGATGTAAAGAAGGGCAGCAAAATTTGGCTCTGAGTTTGCCAGGATTCGGAACATAGTTAGATATGCTTCACTTTTCCAGGAACCACGCTGGCTGGATCCTACGAGCTCATTCCTGCCAGGTTGTATGATGAACCGATGCAAATGGAATCGTGAGGACTGTGCCAACCTCAGACTTTTAAAGGAACCAAATGGTAGAAGGAAGGCAACGATTCCTCACAAGTCCTTGGGCTGTGGAAGAACAGAGGCACAAAGAAGCTATTAAATTGTCTCTTTGGCTTTCCCTGCTGACCACGGATCATCAGCTATATTTGAAAATAAAAATGGGTTCTGCGCATGCAGATGCAGAGAAGAGCCTTCCCTGTGGGGCACTGGATCCATTCATCTTGCTCCA